TCTACTTTATAAAATTTAAATTTTCAGAGCATCTCAAATGCCAAATAAAAGTAAAACAAAAAATAAATAAATGACGATATTAAATTTTGCTTTTACTTGAGACTGAGAGTGGGAATGTATGTGTGAGATTGAAAGTTTGAAATCATTTTTGTTATATCAGCAAACTTCAAAAATGTTGACGCTGTCCCTTAGCGGTTTAACCTTTAAATTTTTGTACCATGGTTTATTCTATATATAATATTAACCATAAAGTTTCACACTTTATATAAAGTTCCCAAAAATTCAAAAAATTTTCAAGTTTTTATTCAGAACTTCTAACTAGTAGGCATATTTTGTAGCCCATTCAATTTTAGTCAAGGCGAATTAATATAAGGTGATACCAGGAGTACAAAAACAAAAATTTACATGTATTTTGTTTTTGCTTTGGCGGCATAAACTGTCAAAATCTGTAAGAGTGTGTGTAGAAATTCAAACAAAATTTTTCAATTTGATATCAGAAGCCGTGCGGCGAAACACATACACAAAATCAGCTGAGCTAGTAACACCACCTTATATAAATTCGCCTTGATTTTAGTTTAATGAAGTGCAAGTTTCGAACGGCTAAAAAATCTTTCATTCTTGTTTTTTTTTTTTTTTGGTGACGGAGTTTTGCACTTTTTTCCATATAAGCATGAAGTTCTTATTTCAAAAAACGCGAGTTTTTGTAAATTGTATTTGTTATATAAAAAAACACAAAGGCAGTCCCCAAAAAAAGTCTCAAAAATGAACGCGATTTTTTAGCGGGTTGAAACTTGCACTTCAAGAGACAACTTCAATGGGCTACAAAACTGCATACTTGAGAATTTTCTAGAAATGGTGAATAAAAAGTTGAAGATTTTGATGAACATTCTTTTTAATTTTTGTGAACTTTATATAAAGCGAGAAACTGTGACTTATATGATTTATATCAAAGAATGAACTATATGTTCACAAATAATTAATGCAAAAATTTGTTCATGAAAATAACTGTGGAGTTTATATTAGAACAAGGTGTACACTTTCATTTGTCGCCTAGTGTAAGTGTGCCTAAGGGCCTGTAGTCATAGAGAAGTTAAGACAAGATTCTAACGACTATAATTGTGTTTTATAATAGTTGCGATCCCGTACGAGTCCGGACTAGTCAGAAATAGTCAGAATCAGTCAGATTTTACAGGAAATCGATCCCGTACTCGGTTCTCTGACTACTGAGAGGACAACAAAGATAGTAAATGAGGTCCTCTCTCAGTCAGAAGTTACCAGTTTTAGTCCGAGAATTTTTTGCTGGTAAATTCTGGTAAATGTGTCAAACGATCTATGGTGTGTTTGGCAACCAAATTGTAAACAAAAGAAAAGTGCACTCTGCTAGTTCATGTGGAAAAGTATAAATTACTTGTTTAAGTGGATTCTAATGAATTAAAAAGTATTTTTGGTTACTTACATGCATGATACAAATATTTAAAGGTAAAACCGCTCGCTCAATTCGTCCGCCATTGGATTTTTTTGCCGTTTGCTAGCATTTTGAGTTTTCTCTCTCGAAATGCGTTTAATATCAAAGAAATTCAAAATAAACAAATGAAAATTTATGATTTGAAGTATTCATTTATTCGGAAGTTGAGAAAACTAAAACAATTCGAAACGAAAAATTAGTTGCTGCTTTAACGGCTGCCCATATTCCTTTTCCTCTGCAAGCAAAGGAATCTAAAGATCCTCAAGTTCCCGCAACTATTGTATATATAGCAAAAATGGATCGAGGTTTCTGGTGTTATGAAAACGGATTTGCCAAAGTGCGCCTATGTATGCTCGACTCATTTTTTGCCACACCAGCTGACCCAATGTAAGCACAAGATAGTTCTTTGCAAAAGTGCAGTGCCCTTAAGGTTAAATATCTTCAAAATGCATGCCAAAAGCTTCGCCTTAACATGCGGGCACCTGAACTTTTCAATGTTACTCTCTCGCTCTGAGCGAATTTTTATTTTTTGACAGTTTTACTAGTTTTAGTCCGAGGAATACGGGATTGCACCTAATAATCACCATTTTAACACAATCCAAAAAAAAATTAATTGCAATTACAATTAACAGTTGAGAAGTTGAAAAAAAGGAAGGAAATATGTATGTATGTAATAGATTATTTTCTTAAATTTCTGGCCAAGTTTCGGGCAATTGCGTTACAAAATGTTTCTTAAGATGTCTACGATTGACAAAACTTAAAAATCTATACTAAACTTAAAGTTTACGACTATGACTATGGGCCGTTAAGCAAACGAGCGTGAGTATGAGATGCTCTCACAAATAAGGAAAACTGCCGCAAACCTTGGAAACCCAAAAACGCCCAATTTCGTGACCGAAACTAAACGTCAAGTCGTATAAAATGTTTGATTTAAAATTGCGCGAAAAGGAACTCATTAACGTAAAGTCGTAATGACTTATCAAAGAACAAACAGCTGAATATGCTTCCCACGACCCAGCTTTATATCTGGCCAGGAACTGTTCCTCCAGCATCACTCCCCAAAAACTCTTTGGGTAATTTTTATGCTGTTACAACGATAGCAACAGCTAAATATGCATATATTTGTTAGTTAAAAGCCGCCTGTTATTCATTGTTCTTCTGGCAGTGCGACAGTTTTTACAAACCAGTGATGCCAGATTGTGGGTAATTTCCCTATTTGAGGGATATTTTGCAACAAAAATTATTAAAAGGGAGAAAAAAGGGATTTTTACTTTACACAATTATCGATCCATAATTGATCAGAATTCAAGAACAGTCGACACTCTTACGAAACTAATCGTTCTGAAGTTGTGATGTGGAGTAAAGCTATGTATAAGTATTAAAAAAAGGAAAATTTGGAAATTTTTCTCACTTTAACCAATTCGAGCGCTGACTAAGAATGAATCTTTCCAATTGTAATTGGGTTTTAATGTAAAAAGCAGCCCAAATTATCTGATGAAAAGTTAAATAGTACATGTATGTATATAAAATAACGGTTGCTTTTGAATCAAAAAAAAAAATGTAAGTGATTCAGCTTTAAAGTCAACAAAAATCATATTTGCTTAGACAATGCAAATAAATTGTAACAGTGGTAGTTTTAAGAATTTCCAGAATTCTTTAAGGTTTTTAGTGCGTAATCTACCGATCTTTGCATTTCGAAAGAATATTATACGTACATGTATATTAATGTAACGAAGTAAGTACATATATGAATGCTAATTTTTTACTACTGAAATACATGTTTTGAATTGTTTGGGAATTTTGTGGGATAAATTTTTAAGATGTGGGTAATTGAGGGATTTTTTCCCGATTTCCGTGGGTAATTTAGCAGAAAATATCTGGCATCACTGTTACAAACTTGCCCAGAAAAATAATTCGGACTTTCTCGGGCTAGTGAGAAGCTCAAATTACTCTCACAAAGTGGCTCTCAACAGTCCGAGAACTCCAAGTTTCGAGCAAATGCTTTACAAAATAAGCCAATATTTACTCCCAATGAGTGAAATATGCAAGAAAGTACGAAAACGCAAAACAAGCAAGTTGCTAGTTTTATGAACAGATGATTAATTTGTGATTTTCCGATGCAATTTTCTTAGAAAACTAGTATTTTCCATCTTATTATATATTTAAATAGGTTTATTTTGTCAACTCCCTGCAAAAATAGCGACTACTCCATGCATGCATGTAAAGAGTACTCCCGAAGGACCAAGGAGTACTCCAAAATTAAAGAAGATATATACAAACTTTACCGAATCAAAAGCCTGTCAGATAGACGAAAGATTGCGGATTTGACCTTCTTCTACAAGGTGGTAAATGGTATCATCGATGCTCATGACATACACAGCTGCTTCGAATTAGCACCATCTGGATTAACCCTTAGACGAAGTCGATTACTGAAAACAACTATGTTTAACAAAAACTATATGATCCATTGCCCACGAAATAGGATAGTCAACCTTGTAAACTCGCTACATATAGATTTAGATTTCTATGGAGGCACATACAGCGCTTTTATCCGTAACATCAAAAATCATATTTTCTCTTAACAAAAATAAATAAATTTATTGATACACATGTCTGTGCAACGAAATATTGTAAACTCTCTTCATATTTACTTAGTGTTTTCATCCTCTATGTAATTTTATACCGTTTATGTATAATGCCGTTTGGCGTATGATTAATAATAAATTAAATTAAAAATTAACCACAATTCATATAAAAAATATGGCCCAATTAACATTGCGATGTCCCAGGGCAGGACCATATACTCCATCCCTGCATTACATCAGAGTAGCACAAAACTACTCCAACATATTAACAATGGCATTGTTGTTATATTTTTTCGTTTGTACACGCTTTTGTTCTTCACTTCTCAGATGCTTTTTCGAAATTAATAAAAACCAAGACAAAAATTAAAAATTACATGTTGCCTCTGACGGCATTCGAACACGAACATGCTGGGAGCTCACAATTAACAGCTAGCATCTCTACACGTTCAGCTACAGCCAGACATGCAAATGTACTTTCAAATGTTCAACTTCAATCACATTTCGTTAAAACACGAGCAGTTATCGGGTAACCAACAATAAGCTGGCGCAGACACGAGTTGGTCCGCTACAGCATGACAGAGGAACACTTTTGTAAGTACTCCAATATACCACAAATAGACTACATGGTCCAATGATTTTTGCAGGGTTGCAACTCCAAAATCACCACAAACAATTATTTTGGTAATGTGAATTACATTAAGCATCATGCCATCAGCTGTTTTTCTTACTAGCAAATAGTTGCTAGTAAAAATTCATCCAGTAGAAATCCAGTAAAACTTGCAGGTTCAGCTGTCATTTTTGCTCTCTCAATTTCCTCACTTTTGCTAGTTTCTTGCAAGTTTTTGCGTACGAAAACGACAACCAGTAAAAAAGCAGTAAAATTAGTACTGGATTTACTGGATAGTGCGTACGCGAACAGGGCTAAAGTTTCACAAAAGTGTAGAAAATACAAAAAAAAAAAAAAACGGGAAGACAAAAGGAAAATGTTTACTTACCTTGAATTAAACGATAAAACTTCATAGATATTGAGTTTAAATTTCCATCGATCGGAAAGCGGAACAAAGAAACAGTATTAAATAAAATATACATATACAGGCCGATTCCGAACAGAAACTCCCTGGGAGTTTTTTCTCTTCTTCCTTTCCTCCTCTCATGAATAAATATTCCCTGCGAATTTTTTATATTAATCGAAGTTCGAATTTCGTCTCAAGTTTTCGGGGAAAATGCTACTCCCTAGAATTAATTATTGGAGGATTTCTTTCCCAGGAGAAACAAATTCCCGGAGAACGAACGCCCCTGGAATATTAAGAACTGGGCTGATAAAAATTTTATAAAATAGGAGTGAATACGAAATAAAATTAATGTATAAAAAAATTGTGTACTTCTACAGCGTCACCCTGCGAGAACCTTCCTTGTACATGGCATAAAGCTGCTTTCTGGCATGTAGGACAACAACAACAAACTTTTATAAGCAGATGACAGCAATGACAGTAGTTGAGAAATATCAGCGAAAAAAATAAAAAAAACAGAAGTGCAAAAATTGATTAGAAAAAATTAAAAAAGCAAAATTGAAGTGCTTATTAAAAATAAATTTTAAGGATTTGCCTCGGTAACGAAAACTGCAGCGCAAGTACTTATGTAGAGCTGAGCAATTAGACATAAGCTAAAAGACTACGGGGCCCTCCGTTCAAGGAGGTGACGAAGTCCAGCAATTGTGGCATTTCCAGGTGTGACTTAACACTATCGCTCGCACATAAACCCAAGCAGAAAAAACCACGTTTGTATATGTACATATGTGCAGTTTAGTTAAATAAATAATACGAAAATCAAATAAACAAACGCTGGTGGAGTTAAAAAGTTATGACCGGCAGAATGCGTAACACCACAAAAGTTGAGGCACTTATTGAGAGCTGTCGCAGCGAAGGCAAGTGGCAGCGTGTCATCGAGCTGACCGAGGAACTCAAAACGGGCTCGCCCAACAATGGTGAGTGCTTAATGTAAATGGGTTGGAGAAATTTTTAATTTAATTAAACAATTAAGGTAAAAAACTTCAATTGTATAACGAAAACTACTTATTTAGCCATGAAAACCATAAAAAAAAATATTAAACGCTATTTAAAACAACAACAACAACACCGACCTTTGTTTAAGTGTGTCATTGAGAATAATAAATGGCAAATTAAGAAAGTAGTGTTAAAGGTTAAAGTATTATGTCATCAAACAGACAACAGCAACAAAACAAAATAAAAGACGCACTCCGCATGCGAAAGTAGTAGTTTCTTAATTGTGTCACTCACTACAAGCCATTGGAAAAGCGGGTCGCTTTTGCCTTATTGTGTTGATAGAAATCTACAAAACTTTACTTAAATTTTTAAGACAGTTGCGTATATAAAATTAAAAAGTTGTTTCATGTTATAATACGCTGAATATTAATCCCACAAAAATCTTGACCATTTTCTTATTTCCTTTCCAGAATACCTTGCAAATTTCCTTATTGGTGAGGCGAAACTGGAAAACTACCTCGAAGAAAATGCACCCATCGAAAGTAATTTTGCCAAAGCCAAAGCCGGACTGCAAGATGCGAGACGCTGTTTGCAACTAGTCACCGGTGAAAATGGCCAGAAGGCGGGCATTGCCCTTGACGCGTACTTGCTTCTGGCTAAGCTGTGCTACGCCTGCGGCGAGTACGAGAAAAGCTTGGAAAACTTTGTTAAAGCCGAGCTCAATACCTTGGCTGAAAAAGAATTGACACTGTAAGTTGAATGGTTTGCGGATTGCCTATATCGAGTATTTTACTTTTTATACATATTACAGCCGCAGCTTAAAAATCTTAGCTGAATCATATGCCATAAAAGGGTTGTGTTTGGAAAACCAGACCAGTAAACCCACATCGAAATTTAAAAAGGCCGAAAAAGAAACGGAAATGGTAGGATGAAATTTCGCTTCATATAGACCCAAGTTTTTATATACATTGTTTCCTCTATATCTCATAGATTTCTTGCTTTGAGCGCGCCACTGACTTGGGTCTATTGTATTTGCAAGAGCAAGATATTGCCACATATTCTTCAGCGACGAATAACGCAGTCAATGCGGGTTCTATGTTGGCCATAAACACCACTAGCAATATGGTTGGTCTACAATCTTCGCTGGGTGGTAGTAGTCTCACGATAAGCACCACCATACCTGCCAATCCACTCGAACTTAACCGTCGCATGGGTGCCATACTCGAGACAGCACTGCAACGCGCCCCAATTGTGCTCATTAAGGCGGGCAAATTACAAGAAGCCATCGAGCGTTATCGCACCATGCTGAATGCGATCGAAACGAAAACAACGCAATCATTGCGCTTAACACTGGCACGTCAATTGGCAGAAGTACTGCTGCGCGGTGTCTCAGGAACCATTTATACAGCGCCATTCACCAAGAAGCCAACAGGACAGGCACTCCGTTCGACCACAACAAAACGCTTGTGGAAACCACGCAAATATGCGGCACGAAATCAATTTACGCCACGTAACCAGCACGAGGAGACGATTCTGTTGTTACTTATTTCAGAAGCATTAGCGGTGCGCGACACAGTGCTCTCACAGAGTCCAGAATTTCGTGTAGCTCGTCAGCATGCAATGGGTAATGCTTCAGCAGTATATGATTTGCTTACACTTGCATCAGTGCGTTGGGGTTTGGTAAATATGCTGCAGGAATCTTTTGAAAAGGCGCTGAAATTCTCTTTCGGCGAACAACATGTCTGGCGGCAGTACGGTATAAGTTTAATGGCCGCAAACAAACATGCACATGCGCTGCGTGTTCTGCAGGAATCCATAAAATTGACGCCAAGTGATCCGCTGCCTTGCCTGCTGGCGGCGCGACTATGCTACGAGTCGTTATCGCAGATCAAGGAGGGTCTGGACCTTGCGCATCTAGCCCTCAAGCGCGAAACGAAAGGTTAGCAAAAAAAAATTTTAATTTTCAACTATTTTATCTACGCTCCTCACAGGCATACGTCCGTCACGCAGTCAGCTGTTCGTTGGTATTGGCTACCAACAATTGGCTATACTGACAACGCTAAAATCGGAGCGCGACTTGTACAATAAATTGGCATTGGAGGCTCTTGAAAAGGCGGTACAAAACGATGGCAACGATCATCTCTGCGAATATTATCTTTCGCTGCAATATGCGCTGCTCGGCAATATCACCGAAGCATTAACACATGTACGTTTTGCGCTGGCGCTGCGCACTGAGCATGCGCCCAGTTTGCATTTATTCGCACTGTTGCTGACCGCATCCCGACGTCCACGCGAAGCTCTGGCCGTTGCGGAGGATGCATTGGACGAGTTTCCGGACAATTTGAATTTATTGCATGTTAAAGCCCACCTTCAACTGCATTTACAAGACGCCGAATTATCACTGGTTTCGGTGCAAAAGATGCTGGCCATTTGGCGTGAGCTGTACGAGGGGCAAGTGAGTGCCGAGGAGGAAAAACAGTCGGATACCAAAAGTATTGTGGTGCATGTCAATCCGACGGCAGTCTCATCGCAAATGTCTGACAAGGATTCAAGTAAGTTGAGAGAGGACCAAGGAGCGTGTGGTAAGAAAAATGAGGGGAAAAAAATTGTTTGACGTCTTTTATTTATTTAATAATAATAAAATTTTAGATCAAAGTCATAATAAATAAATAAAATTCTCGATAATTGTGCATTTACAATAGTCAATTGAAGTTGAAATATATTTTTTTTAATATCCGAATAATTTTTAAAAAAACTTTTCTGGTATTATTTTACTTAAAACTTCATCTCTCTTACCTTTAGCGAATCTTCAACTAATCTTACAAATATTTTTACGTAATTTCAACTAATTTTCATTTACTTCACATGTTAAAAATTATCTTATTTCTACTGTTGACCACTTTTTGCGCAACAACGCATTTTGTAATTGTAAGTGTGACTTATTTATCTATACATTTTTTTAAGAAGAAATGACTTGGCTATGCTTGCAAATCACACGCAAATTTTAAATTTCCTAACTAAGTTTAAAACGCGAGCAGCATCACTTGCACTAACTAATTTACTATTTACTGCTAGTTTCCATTTACGAAAACAATTCTATTAGATTTACTCGTATTGCTCAACCTTTTAAGCTACTCTCAATTTTCACTCAGCTCTTCACAGTTGGCGTTTCATTTCTTATAATCACATTACTGCTTATTTGGTTAATAATTAACCTTGTTTTAAAGATTCGGTTTATGCTGCTTCCCTGGCGGCAGTTTCCCGCGTCGAACAGGCTTTGAGTGAGGCGGCTAGTTCGCTGAGTTCTTTTTCGCCGCGTCCCGGGCCCCAGCGACCATGGATGATACAGATAAAGGTAATTTTTAGATGAATTGTTTTACTGAATTTTGGACTTTGTAACGTTCGGTCTCTTTTATACACAGATTTGGCTTTTACTCGCTGATGTCTACTTGAATATCGAACAACCACATGAGGCTTTGAATTGTATACAAGAAGCCTCACAAATATATCCGCTCTCACATCAAATTATGTTTATGGTTAGCAGTATTTTTTATAAATTTCAACCTTTGATTTCACCCGCATAATGTTCCCCATTTTTGCGTACTTTACAACAATTTGAAAATATCACCAAATTCGTCCACCTTGAAAAAATAGTTTATACAGCATTTAAACAACATTAACCAAACAATTTACTCTAAATCCTATTTCTTTTAGCGCGGTCAAATTTACTTATATCTAGAGCAATGGAACGATGCCAAACAATGTTTCCTTAATGCCGTTTCGGCCAATCCAAATCACACAGAGGCATTGCGTGCACTTGGCGAGACACATCATGTACTTGGTGAGCCCAGGCTAGCGGAAAAAATGTTAAAAGATGCAGCACGTTTGGATCCCAACTGTCCGAAAATATGGTAAGCTATGTTAGAAGACACTGATTTGTATATTTTACTAATAAACGTTTCATATTTCCTATACACATCCAGGTTTAGCTTGGGCAAAGTCATGGAGACGCTAGGCGATTACACTGCCTCCGCCGATTGTATGGCTACAGCGCTGCAATTAGAGCCAACATGTCCAGTACTTCCATTTACCTCAATACCCCTGACCTTCGATTGAGGGCGAAAAATTCAATATTTGCGCGAAATACTGCTGCTGCGTGGAGTTGGTTGCACGTTGAGTTTAACCGGGTTGAGTATGTACATGGTAATACATTTAAAATCCTTGTGACTTGGGTGCAATAAAAATAATATGAAAGATGGGCGTAGTATATAGCGGTAAAATTTACTTTAACTTTTAACTAACTTTATCGGTGTGTCTATTGTATTATTAGCAAATATTAAAGTAGTTGATTGTTAATTATACACCGTTTAATTTTGATTTATTTACTTTCATCGTTATTTGGTATGAACCCCATGTATATTCCAAAAATTAAAAATGTGCATTCGTAAGTAGCAATGGTGCGAGATGGTAGAAAGAATTCGTTTATTTGTTTTTTTTTTCGACGCTATACAAGTACGCCTTTGGAAATTGCAATATTTACTTACATACTTGGAAACAGATAAATAAATTTGTTAAAAAGATGTGTATGTACATATATATATAAATTATCTTTCTATAAAATAAATGTGTGTTTCAGGAATTTATAGTTATACATTTACCTACATATGCATATACATACATATTTAGTGTATGTATTATATATACCTCCTTCACATTCATATTGTATATCAACAAATACTGTATTGCAAATAAACACTATTATACTTGCAAAAATATGTTAAATAAAAAATTTGCATTGAACGTATTTTCAAAGTTTACAAACCCGTACTCCCTTGTTCTTATAACTAACAGCAACTAATATCAATACACATTTGAGATACATATGTACATGGCATATCCCCCTATTCGGAAATGCAGCAAACCGAAGCTTCGGTGTCTTTTACTTCTAAACTATAATTGCCCAATTGGCGCAGCTAAGTTCCAATTCGGCATCTAACCACGTTTGCGCATATTGCAAATTTCCATCAATTATAGTTTAGAAAGAGGCTGATGCTTTGTTTGCTGCATTTCTGAATAGTCCCATATGTACATGTTATATAATAATAAAAATATATGTAATAGTTATGCTAATATTAAAAACTAATAATGTATGATAACAACATAGAAACGTATACTTTGAAACAATTATACAACTATGAACAACAACAGTATTAAAGCTCGTTGTATTTACAATTGCAACTTAAATTTGGTATAGGACTATTCCACTCACAGAGTATAGTTTCTTTCTTCTTTTGTTCTCGGGTGTTTTAGTTTTGTTTTAAAATACAGCATTAGTAAATTCCAGTTTAACGTAAGTTTTTTGAAACCAACGAAATATTCCAATGCGAGATTTGGTAATGTGTGTGGTACAGTTACCAAAAATAAATACAAATATAAAATTGTTGATGCTTGTTTGTGCACTTTGAAAACGGTATATTTTCTTCAAGATATTTTTAATACTTTTGACACCAAAAAATTCGGTCAATATTGCACTATTTAACTTTTCCCAATTATGTGAATAATGCAAATACAAAATACAAATAAATACAATACTTTGCATAGTATTTAAACATTAAAAAAAATATATAGCCAATCAACTGTGAATTTAGTTAAGCAATAGTTAAATTGTTCTCTTAGTTGTTTAGTACAAGGAAAATAATTCTTTAATTTATAATCGCTTAAATACATAGTGCATATTACCTTGGAGCCAACTGATTTATAATTGATTAGCTGTTCAATTACATATTTTTGTGTAAGAAAACGGAAAAATAAATACTGTACCCATAAATAAGCATGGATTATTAAAGTATTTAAAAATATCAATTATAATTGAAAAATAAATGTTTTGTTGATGTTTTTTTGGTCTTTTTGGATCCTTGAAAAAATAACAATTTTAAAAACAATAACATTGGGAGTGTGGCCATGACTAACTGTCCAATGGAAGGAAATTGCTCACCATCTATTACATTTTAGATATCCCTAACCGTTTAAATAGAAAAAAACTCGTGCAATTAGAATTTCGAATAAATGTGTTTTAACATTTGTTATATTTACTTTTCGCTCAATAACTCCTAATCCATGAATAAATACAAATCAAATACATTTAAAAATTCTTTGCTGCCTGCAGCAGCTTTTCTTCTTCAAGCTTCTCCTCCGCCAACTGTTCCAAGCGTCTCATTTTCATCTCTAAACGCCAATTCTGCATCTGTTCCTTATATGTGATATACATAGCTATCACCGCTTGCCCGGCAATTGCCGCTCCTAGCACCGGAAATATGGGTCGCGTCATATTTCGCCATAATCTAAATACCGCGATTGGTTCTTTTGTTATTGACGGCAAACGGTAGGTGAAGTGACGAGTGGCGAACATGAAGGCTGCAAATGGCGCCAATACGGTTGGATAGCAAACACCCACTCCTGCTTGAAAAGCGCCGGCGCGTATTTGTAAGCAAAGCGGACATTGGGTACCTTGATCCAATAAGACATTTCGTTGTATTAGAAATTTGTGTGACAGCACTGAGAACATAGCTGGTATGACTACGATGGGCAAGTAAGTAGATGCCTTGCCATAATTGCCCAGCTTTAACTTGTGACGGTAATGACTGTTTACGTAAATGCCCGTAGCCGCAGCCATTGCTCCAAGTGAACCGGGTCCGTACCGTAAGCTCCACACTTCCCAGCGATTCTCCCAGTTCGATATGACCCGCCACTGGTAAGCTAGCGCCTGCTCCTCATTGATAACAATGGCATCTTTGGGAATCTCTTCTTTGCGGGCGTGTGAAAGAGCCATTTGGGAGAAATGCAGCGATTACGTATATGGTGCACTACCAATGTGGTTTCCAGAGAGTATTTATAATCATGCACAGCTGTTTGTAGGGGGCGGCGGGCGGAATTGTTTTTATTCGAGTGAAAAATTAACAGCGATGCCACTTTGGAAATGCAGGCCCATTTTATTGTTTCTTTTATGATAAAGTTAATAGGAAGTGTTTAACCATTATTTTTAAGAGCACAAAAATCGCAATAATTAGGAGCAGAATATTGGTCTTCTTTTTGATTTTAATTAGCTGATTGATTTATATTTTTGCCAAAATCCACCACTAAATATACCGACTATTTTCCACATTGAGGAATTTCAGCGATGGGCTTGTCAGCTGTTTGATANAATGCAAGACTTTGCCATGCTAAACACTGTGGCGAAGCGAGAGAGTTATATGGACAAATATGAGCCACTATGATTCAATTGATTCATGTGAGCCCTACGGCATCAACTGAGTTACTGAGTTACATTTTTTTTGGACAGGGAGTCTGAGTTACCGATTCTCTTATAGGAATCAACTCAATAACTCAACTCTGAGTTGAGTTACCCACCTCTATTTGCTTGTGATTTTTGTAATTTTTGCACCAAATCGGGGGAAAACAAGTGCATAATTTAAAAAAAGTTGTGNAACTGTTTCCACTGACAGTTTTTACCGTTTGACAGTTAGCTGTATTGTTTTCTCGCGTGTGATTTGCATTTGCTTGTGATTTTTGTAATTTTTGCACCAAATCGGGGGAAAACAAGTGCATAATTTAAAAAAAGTTGTGTTCAGTCACTGAACTTCAGTGAATAAATAAAAGTGCATAAATAGAAAGAGGTGCTAATAGTGTGTAGCAATCAGTTGGCGTCTAAATTCCAAGGCAAGTTTAGCATTGTACAAATTTAGGTTATATAATTTGTAAGAAAATCGTTGGACGCTGTATTGGAAAAACTCGGCTTTTATTAATAAAACATCTAATTAGCTATATTACAGATATAAAATAATACAAAAAGCTTAAACAATACTTTGGTAAATCCATGGAAAAGAATATGTGCCCGAAATATGCAACTTTCGTGGGGCAACCACCTGGATGCCTTTATCCAGTGTCGGCAGGTGGTGAACGTCCAGCAAATAACTAATATAACATTCATTAGATTTTACCTTTTCCTACGCGTGTTTTAAATCAATGTAAGCAGTCGAGTGCAACAGGCGCATTTTCCCAAATATTTCACAATTCATTATTAAAGATGTCTAAAAAAATGTATGATGTCATAACTCTGTAATGTTGGACCAGTTTTGTTTCGGGTTCTTTGAAACGAAAATAGCATTTTGTAATGCTGAATAAAATTCGGAATTTAATGAAGAGTTCTGGTTGACACAGACGTAGGCACTTAGGTATGTACATATTTGTTCCGCCTCCGAACTTTTTTAGATACTTTTTCAAGGCATCGTTCGAAATGCAATCACAACCGCAGTGTTACCGCTTTTTTGCGAACAGGCCCGCACTCGGTGACCGATGGTAGAAAAAACTTTTTCTAATTTAGATGTTGCCCGGACCAGGATTCGAACCCTGTTGTTGTAGCGACACAACCCAAGTCCCACATATGTGTGTATATCACATTAAAATCAAACAAGAGTCTATATTTCATTATAATAATATTTATTCGATTTTCCTGAATTTATATAACGGCCTTATCCTGAGTTTCGCCAAAAAAAAATCACCTAAACATTTTCCTTCTGCCCATACTAAATACATAAAAATAAAAAGTGAACGGGTTCGGGGAAAATGTACCTCATGATAAGACTGATTATTTATAGGCTTAAATTCAAACATTTCAAGTGTGCATATTCGCCTGTTACGTATTACACTTAATTTTTAGTACATAAGGTGCAATATATGCGTTAAAATCGATAAAACAAATTTATGTCTTAAATTTAAATATACCGATTTAGAACAGCATCAAATGCCTACATAAAATGTAATTTTTATTGATGCATTGACATATGTTTGCACATGTACATACGTTCATTATTTTATTTTTATAGTTTATGTACATATTTGTATATGTACATACGTAGTAGTATGTACTTAGGTATAATATACACAAAGTATCACAAAATTTAGTTTGTTGGTTTATATCGTAGTAAATGTTTATGTTAACAAAATAAGACATATTAACTATTAAACTCACAAACTTTAAAATTTTAAAACTTGTAACTCATAAAAATCTTCAAAGATCAAGATAATATTGGGCGCTTTCGAAGTATTCAAATGCTTTTCCAATTCCTCTTTTACTTAGGCTTCTTAACAACGATTGTTTTCATAGAGATTACCGTTTCTATGTTTTAATTCTGGACAACGGATTATTTCCAGTTTTTTATGGGTCGAATACGGATGGCAACCGAACTTCAGATGCGTTCCCAGTGGCGAAAATGGTATTACAGATGGCAACTGAGTTGTTATCTGCACTTTAGTGATTGCAGCAGCGATTTGAATTAAGATTTTTTACCTTTTTCAACTGCTTCTGCAGCTAATTTCTTCTGTTACTCCAAAATTCTATAACCTTAACTTTCAACTATAGCTGCTACCAAGGTCTTAGTCGCTATTCGTAATATACAACCTAGGTTGTTATTTTCCAATAATTAGTCCCAAGTATTCCCGTGGATTTAAACGTTCTATTTTTTGAAGTTTTTTGTTTGATTTATACAAGTTTTCAATAGCATTTATTTATTTTTTTTTCAGTTTTGCAGATGTTTTTACACAAACTAATTACCTGCTTATATGGTATTCCATAATCTTTGAAATTAATAGGTACACCTTAGATATTTTTCTCGTGCCTACTGCGTACATACTTTTAAAGCTTTTATTTGTCTTTTCTTGAAATCGTTCTTCAAAAATCTGGCAACCCTTATACATACAAATCAATGCTGTTGAATAGCAGAAAGACTTCTATTAGGAGAACAAGCATTTTAGGACGATTACATATCTCGGTCGTTGAGCGATTTATCTTTACAGTCATGTTTTCTCAAGTGGGCCACCCAAAGTTGACTTCGATTTTTTATATTTCATTGACCGATTATGAAAGTTAGAATGGTGTGCAATGTTGACACCAAAGATTTTGCGCCAATTTTACTTTTTTGGCGAGTTATATGCAAACAAATTTGTAAGCAGGCTTTTACACTTGAAATATTTCAGAAACCATTCATTCGAATCTTATGATTTTTGACAGCATTTATAGAACTTTTTGGACAAAAGAAATAATAAAGGTGTCAGTTTGTAAAATTTCGATTCTTGTTTTATAAAAAATTTAATTTTTTAATAAATTAAATTTTTTTACCAACTTCTCATATACCTAGGAAAAGAATTCAAAAAACATTATTTGCGCTAAATATTCAATTTTACTTTCATAAAAAAATTTCCGTACCTTTGATGACTTAAAGCGTTTTACCAAAAAAATGAACCAAGTTTAAAAAAATATAATACAAATGAACTGAAAAGCACAAAATAAAATTTTCAAACTTAAATATCAACGCAAGAATTATCAAATTATATGTTTTTTTTGCTTTTCAGTTCATTTGTATTATAATTTTTTAAACTTGGTTCATTTTTTTTTTGGTAAACACTTTTAAGTCAATACAGTATTTTTTTTTTAAGTAAAATTAAATGTTTTGCGCAAAAAATGTTTTTTGAATTCTTTTCCTAGGTATATGAGAAGTTGATAAAAAAATCAGTTTATTAAAAAAATGAAATCTTTTATAAAACAAGAATCGAAATTTTACAACTGACTACTTTATTTTGTTGCCCAATAAGTTCTCTAACTGCTGCCAAAAAATTATAAGATACGAATGATAGGTTGCTGAAATATTTCAAAAAGTTTAAAAGCCTGCATAAAAATTTGCTTGCAAAAATAACTCGTCAAGGAAATAAAATTATCGCAAAATCTTTGGTGTCAATAATGCACACCATGTTAACTTTCAAAATCGGTCAATGAAAAGTAAAAAATCGAAAAGTCAGCTTTGGGTGGCCCAGTTGAGAAAACATGACTCATTAGTTACCCATTTTGCTGGGTGTTGAGCCGAGCTTCTCTAAACGGAACAACCGTTGTTAAAAACCCCCTTTTGGACGTCCANAATCTTTGGTGTCAATAATGCACACCATGTTAACTTTCAAAATCGGTCAAAGTAAAAAATCGAAAAGTCAACTTTGGGTGGCCCAGTTGAGAAAACATGACTCATTAGTTACCCATTTTGCTGGGTGTTGAGCCGAGCTTCTCTAAACGGAACAACCGTTGTTAAAAACCCCCTTTTGGACGTCCATCCGACCAGGAATTTCATCCTAGGTTCTTCCGGGTGTAGTACGTTTCTCGAACCACTTGGTCAAATCCAAATCTAAGCGTTTCCACATCTCGCCCTTAATCAGTAGTTCCAAAGTACGCCAAATAAGTTAAATTTATTTCCAATTTTTTTTTTGCAATACACAACCTAAAAAATAATTGCTACTCCGATATTTAAGCCTATTTTGCATGCTGCTGCGCTTTTAAANATCCGACCAGGAATTTCATCCTAGGTTCTTCCGGGTGTAGTACGTTTCTCTAACCACTTGGTCAAATCCAAATCTAAGCGTTTCCACATCTCGCCCTTAATCAGTAGTNGGTGTCAGTTTGTAAAATTTCGATTCTTGTTTTATAAAAAATTTAATTTTTTAATAAATTAAATTTTTTTACCAACTTCTCATATACCTAGGAAAAGAATTCAAAAAACATTATTTGCGCTAAATATTCAATTTTACTTTCATAAAAAAATTTCCGTACCTTTGATGACTTAAAACGTTTTACCAAAAAAATGAACCAAGTTTAAAAAAATATAATACAAATGAACTGAAAAGCACAAAATAAAATTTTCAAACTTAAATATCAACGCAAGAATTATCAAATTATATGTTTTTTTTTGCTTTTCAGTTCATTTGTATTATAATTTTTTAAACTTGGTTCATTTTTTTTTGGTAAACACTTTTAAGTCAATACAGTATTTTTTTTTAAGTAAAATTAAATGTTTTGCGCAAAAAATGTTTTTTGAATTCTTTTCCTAGGTATATGAGAAGTTGATAAAAAAATCAGTTTATTAAAAAAATGAAATCTTTTATAAAACAAGAATCGAAATTTTAAACTGACTACTTTATTTTGTTGCCCAATAAGTTCTCTAACTGCTGCCAAAAAATTATAAGATACGAATGATAGGTTGCTGAAATATTTCAAAAAGTTTAAAAGCCTGCATAAAAATTTGCTTGCAAAAATAACTCGTCAAGGAAATAAAATTATCGCAAAATCTTTGGTGTCAATAATGCACACCATGTTAACTTTCAAAATCGGTCAAAGTAAAAAATCGAAAAGTCAACTTTGGGTGGCCCAGTTGAGAAAACATGACTCATTAGTTACCCATTTTGCTGGGTGTTGAGCCGAGCTTCTCTAAACGGAACAACCGTTGTTAAAAACCCCCTTTTGGACGTCCATCCGACCAGGAATTTCATCCTAGGTTCTTCCGGGTGTAGTACGTTTCTCTAACCACTTGGTCAAATCCAAATCTAAGCGTTTCCACATCTCGCCCTTAATCAGTAGTTCCAAAGTACGCCAAATAAGTTAAAATTATTTCCGATTTTTTTTTTTTTTGCAATACACAACCTAAAAAATAATTGCTACTCCGATATTTAAGCCTATTTTGCATGCTGCTGCGCTTTTAACNAAAAATCAGTTTATTAAAAAAATGAAATCTTTTATAAAACAAGAATCGAAATTTTACAACTGACTACTTTATTTTGTTGCCCAATAAGTTCTCTAACTGCTGCCAAAAAATTATAAGATACGAATGATAGGTTGCTGAAATATTTCAAAAAGTTTAAAAGCCTGCATAAAAATTTGCTTGCAAAAATAACTCGTCAAGGAAATAAAATTATCGCAAAATCTTTGGTGTCAATAATGCACACCATGTTAACTTTCAAAATCGGTCAATGAAAAGTAAAAAATCGAAAAGTGAGCTTTGGGTGGCCCAGTTGAGAAAACATGACTCATTAGTTACCCATTTTGCTGGGTGTTGAGCCGAGCTTCTCTAAACGGAACAACCGTTGTTAAAAACCCCCTTTTGGACGTCCATCCGACCAGGAATTTCATCCTAGGTTCTTCCGGGTGTAGTACGTTTCTCTAACCACTTGGTCAAATCCAAATCTAAGCGTTTCCACATCTCGCCCTTAATCAGTAGTTCCAAAGTACGCCAAATAAGTTAAAATTATTTCCGATTTTTTTTTTTTTTGCAATACACAACCTAAAAAATAATTGCTACTCCGATATTTAAGCCTATTTTGCATGCTGCTGCGCTTTTAACATTAATTTTGAGAGAACTTGCTTACCTACCACTTAAAACAATTTTCTTAAAAATTATCAAGCAATCCAAAGCTCAAGTCGAGTTGTTACATATGTATGCATCGTTCTGAACTTTAAGCGTAGCTGTGATCTTCATTCAAATTGAAAGGTGCCTTTTCTTTGACAGAGCAATTTCAGATTTATTTCCATTTAATTTTCATTATGTGTAGTTGGAAATTTGCACTTTTTCTTCACTTTAATGATTTACCTATTTACATATAATAGCAATTAGTAATACAATCATTATTTTTAGNAATGATTTACCTATTTACATATAATAGCAATTAGTAATACAATCATTATTTACTTTTACAATTTCTCAAATAAATATTACATTCGATTTTTCAAACATGTTCACTTTTACATGGTAAACAATTTTAACTGCAAATATATTCATTGCAAATTTTTAACCTTTTCTCTATGCACAAAATAAATATTCCACAAATATATATGCATGTATGTTTAAAATTAGTGGCTTGTATGCTGTGTACCTAGTTGTAAAGTATTTTAACCCTCTTTTTTTCCACCCCTTCAGTAGTTCATATTCACATATAAATAGTACTCTCCCCGCTTAACGCTAATTAATGCTCCCTTAAATTAACCCACTTCAGGTGGCCACTGCAACTGGCACAAACACACACCCCCTTTTAGTCTAACGAACGTCGTCGCAGCTGACGGCCTTTATTATAGATTGCTGCACGATCTAGGATTTCGTTGGAGAGTCGCGCTAGCAGCGGCAATTCGCGCATCGAAACATTCACTGTTGGCAAGGGCCCCAATTTCTGTTGCAACTTTTTTACGGGTTGCACAGCATGTTCGGGTGTGGCTGGATAACTGACTACACCGGCATCGCCTTTCAGCTGCTGGAGCGACTGTTTGGCGTGTGTGATTTGTACGAGCGGTCCAGCCTTGCCCGCCACCATAATGACGTCAACGTCGTCTTCGTCGATTTCCTCAACAACCGCTACCGGCTTAGCGTGTACAATGTCATACATTTGTGCTGGTGCTTCGGCGCCCAACGAAACGGGGCGTACACCAGCGCCAATCACAGGGCGATCTTGCTGCTGCTGTTGTTGTTGTAGCTGATGTTTTACTTTTAATTGTTTCTGTTGCTTTAGCGCGCATTCATTCATTAGCATTAATTGATCCAGCTTGTCAACAGTGGCGGTCAACTCATGCTCCCACATATCATTGCGCTGTTGCTCACCATCGCCGCCCTCGATGGGACGCACTGCCAGTATTTTAACTTTCTGACGTAGCTCTTCAAGATCACGTTCATCAACAACTCCACGCAATTCGCCGCTATCCGCATAGTCGGCTTCACATTCTTCGGTTTCGGATTCGTCGCCAGCGCTGTGACCGATGGAGGCAGGTTGTGTGCTGACGCTAGCTAAATCGCTGGAACGATGCGAATTGCCACTCAGCGAGATCTGACTGCCCGCAATCGAAGGGTAATCACACTTCTCCAACTCTAGTTGGAAGTCGGGTAACGGCGGTAGAGTGGTCGTTGTAGGCGAATTCAGTTCGGCGCCGACACCAGGTTCACGCGGCCCTGGTGGTGGTGCGCCCATTTGCGGAAAATCGCCACGTTGGCGATGAATATCGTCGCTGATGCGTTCCAGGTTGCGTAGCGCTGTAGAATAGGTGTTCTTTGCCGATTGTACTTGCTGTTGCAATTCTTGAATGCGGTTCTTTTGAGTTTGCAGCTGGTCTTGGCAGATTTGCTTCTCCTCAAAGTAAGGGCGCGATTTTGTAATGCTACGACGAAAGCGCTCCTCCAACTGCTGGACCTGGAAGTTGAGTGAAATATTAAATTAGATTTTTTGTGTTTTAGTGTTCTCTAAATAACACGCTAGGCTGGCTTATAGCGTTTGCTTACCTTTTGCTCAGCTGTATTGAAGATTTTAGTGCGACGTTGGTGTTCCGCATGGCATTCGGCCTTTTGTTTTTCCGCGTCCATCACCTTTTGTGTGGCATGATTCAACATTTCCTGCCAAGCATTGTCGAATTGCCACTCATGTGAATTGGACATGAAGCGTTCTTCAGCTAAGGCTACAGTCTCCTTGGCAGCGGTGTGAATTTCTGAGGAAATTATAAAATGAGTAATTTTTTCAAATCTTTAAGTGCTAGAGAAAAGCTTTTTGAAATGAACTTTACACGTTGAAGCATTAAAAAGAAATTTTATATTTCACTCACCATTGGCGCGTTGAAATTTCACAGCTGCCTTCTGGCACTCAATTTGCGCTTCTCGTGCTTTCTCCAACGCTTCATAGTAGGGACGAGCCTTCTCAATACAGCTACCTAATTTTTTTGATGATAATTTCAGGCGTCTTGTAGATTCATTTAACAATATGCGGAAGGTTGAATTTGCTTCCTATAAGGAAATGAAAGTAAAAAAAATTTTAAAATAAGTTTAAAAATTGCAAGTACTAATTGAGGAAATTGATTGGTGCATGCGCGGTTCAAAAGGTTCATATGTACATATGTACATTCAGTCACTCACAGAAGTATTCGTAATTTAGTTTTTTCACAATATGGAAAATATTTTCCATCATCATCTTTTTTGTTAATTTTTATTTAAAATATAGCTCATTCTATAGCAAAAAACATATAAATCAATTTTGCCAGCTTTGTACAAAATTCACAATAATTAGTCACAAAATTTTCATCAAATTTTCAAACTTTAGAACATACGCTTTGAGCTATTTTTTTTTGTTTTTTACCGACACCAATCATTTTGCCTTCACAGTTTTACAAAAATGTTTATTTGTACCTCTAATTCAATTTCGAGTTTATTAATCTCATCTGTTGCACTATTGAGATTCTCCAATTCGATCTGCAAATAAAAAGGAAAAATAGAATTAGACAATTTCGTTTCAACCGTGGAATATAGGATAGATGTGCTTTGATATGAAAGTAGGTATTTTTGAATAATCAGAAGATCATGGAAAAGTTGGTGAAAGTTATAATTAGTTGTATAACTAAAAATATTCAGAATTAGAGCAGAGACAATATTACAAATTAACGAGTTTTGTCAGTCTCACCCCTTCAATCGGTAACCCCTGCAAACCAAAGTTCCCGAAATCTTAACGAAATCTTTAGGAGTATCTGATTTCTGTAACGATTTTTTTCCGAATCTTCAAAGAAAATTATATGAAGTGGTTGACACGAACTCGTAAAGAAATTTCTGTACGAAAAATAAAGAAAATTCTGAAAGAAGTCTGCAAGAAATTCTTCACATAGCAGCATTATTTTCATTTCTTTACCGATTTTCTTCCGAAATTTCGTAAAAGAATGGAAGTGTGCGTAATTTATTTCATTTTAGAAAATTCGGCAAAAAATCTGATGGGATCTTTCCGAATTCTTTAAAAATTCTTTACGATTCAGAATACTCTGAAAAAATGGTTTGCAGGGACACCACTGTCATAAATATCACATATAAATGTTGGTCCCGATGGACTCAAAAAATTAAAAAATATGTGTTTTCATTTAATGCACATATAAATTTTAGTCCCGATTGAAGTCGGTTAAAACGGCGTCATAGGGTAATCTGAACTTTGACCTTTGTGCGACACGCCAAAACCGACTTCAACCGGGACCAAAATTTATACGTGATATCCTCGACAATTATAGCATCGATTTTGGGCATTAGGCGAAAAAAATTGATTTAAATTTTTCGAGTCTCCATAGAGCTGGGAGCTTGAGAAGGCAGCGAAAGCTTCATTCAATTGCACGACTTGTTGGCATGCACACAGTGACATCAATTACACGCACACTACAACAATTCTCTGCCGAGGCTGCGCACGTCTGCCATAGAGGAATCTGAAGTTTGCCCCCCTGTGCGACACGACTTTATCGCTTCAATCGAGAACAAAATTTATATGTGATATCTACGACTATAGTAGCATCCACGTAGGGGTTAGGAAATCTGATGTAAAAATTTTCTCCCTACATTTATGGACCACCCTAATGTACATATATTGATACTAATATAACTTATATTTTCTTTACAGACGTCATTATTCGCATTAATTGCATTTAAAACAACGGACATATATCGTATTAGAAAATAAATTAAAATCAGCAGCAAAATGCCGAGACCCACACGTACGGTGAAGGAGCAGGCAAAAGTGGATTTATCCAAAATACCGGTGAGTTTATGCCTCACTACTTATTGTACATATTACGAAAAGAGATTTCATGCTCTATCCCTTTTTTTTAACTTCCAGGCACACGTGGAGCGCGTTAACGTCAGCGGTTTGTTGCGCACACACAATGACTATGTGTTGAAGGCAGCCGAAGGGCTCTTCAAAGCGCGTAATTTTCAAGATGTTATGATTGAATCGATGAAGTAAGTAGCTAATAAAGACATACAAGTCGCTTCTTTTTTGTCTAATCTTCTAAAATATTTTTATTACCAACAGCGCCAAAACGTACCTACATGAATTGGGCATTTTCAAGGATGTGCTAGTACGCATCGATGTTAGCAAAGGTGAGAATGCCTCACCCAATGGCTATGAGGTCACATTAAAGGGTCAAGAGCTTTCGCGTCTTGTCGGCTCTGTCGGCACTGAGGTTGGCCAAAATGAGGGCTCACTACGCACCGAATTAAGTATACCAAATTTATTTGGACGCGGTGAAAGCATCTCATTGCATGGTTCCTACGCAACAACACGCGCCAATGAATTACAGCTAAAATTCTGGAAGTCATTCTTTCACACGCATTTCGTCGAAAATCGACCAGAGTGAGTAATGCATGGCAACATACATACAATAAGCGGTTCAATAATTTTTCAAACTTGATTATCTTATCTTTGCACAGAGTCTCCTTCTCGCTCTTTCGTCACGTCGATCGCATGGACATCAGCTCATTCCAAAATGCTAATTTGGGTTTCGTTGCTGACTTCTCAGTGAATTCACTGCTGCCATTTGAGGTAATAATTTAGCAATATATTTTTTTGTTTAATATTATGGTTATTTAAGCATTTTTTTTCTTCTCCCCCAACAGCTCACCCACTCCATACAGTATGAAGCCTCTATACGCGAACTTTCGCTGCTGGCAAAGACCGTGCCTTTTGTCATACGCGAGCATTGCGGTCCAAAACTGGCATCATTAGTGCGTTATTCTGTAATCTATGATCAACGTGATAATCCTGTTTTTCCAACACAAGGCATCATGTTGAAATCAGTCAATGAGTATTGTGGTTTGGGTGGCAATGTAGCTTATATGAGTACAACAACGCATGGTGAGATCAGCGTACCCTTGTTTGCCGGACTTGTAGCGCAGATTTGTGGCCGAGTTGGTGTGATCAAAGAGACTAAAAATACGACAGTGCTGCCTATTAGTAGCTTATTCTACTGCGGTGGACCGCTGACACTGCGAGGATTCAAATTTGGTGGCGCTGGACCTGTGGTGGATGGCACATCGATTGGTGCGCAAGTAAGTTGATACACATTTATTTACATACATATGCTTACCGTTTCTAATAACTTTTCCTTACAATTTTTCAGACTCACTGGTCCACAGGCTTTCACTTATGGGGACCACTGCCATTCAATCATGTTTTCAAGGGATTGGCTAAGAACTTCCGCACGCATTTGTTCTACAACTGCGGTGGCTTCAACACGCTTTCCGCAGGTAAGTGAACGTTTATATATTTCGAAGCTAGTTTAGTCGAGTTTTAAGCATTCCAATAAAATGTTGCCGAATGCTTAAAACTCAGCGAATTCGAAAGTAGCTTAAATTTGGTATGTTTATAGTTTTAGTTGAAAATGAGAACAACGCAAAATATTTTTAAACGCAATAGTATGATTGAGATGGCTATACAATTAAAAACATATGTAAATATAAACCTCTAAGTTCGTATGAAGTATTAGAATGCAACATTTAAATTTCAATGTTAAAAAAGTAAAAGGAAAAATTTCTGCTTACAAATTTTCTTAAAGGATATACAATGTTATTCCACTTTCACTTTCAAAGGTTTAGGCTTTGAAAGGAAGGAAATTACATATAAACATATGTATGTAAAATGAGTCCACTGCAGATAATACTTTGTGCGATTTTAAATGTCTAGCATAAGCTCTCCTATCGCGCCGATCATACTAATGAATGAATTTCAAAAATATTTTGCGTTCTCAGTTTCAACTAAAGCTATAAATGTGCCAAATTTGAGAAAAATTTTGATGGGGGGTGCGTTTCTTCGTTTTTTTAGATGTACACTGCATAACACAGACTAACCTTCCCCCCTAGAAAAGTTAGCACTTGAAATAACACATTTTTACCAATGCTTCCAAATCAGCTAGAGGCATTTCCCATTTTTGTAAAAAATTGATTTGAGCTGGAATTTCATTAATACACTATTGCTGTCGCTTCAATTGTTCTTGATTACGGCTTTTGTTCATATAAAATGCACAATTTTCAAGGATAAAATGGGTTACTTTGTATTCAAATTTTGACTGAAGAAAACCCTTTAGAAAGCGAGAGATATTGAAATTAAAAGGTGTTTGAAGCAAAGTTTATTTATTTCTAAGAATTTCAATTAAAATGCAACACATTCACTGACAAAACCCATATAAACCCTAGTTTAAGACTTTGTTGTAAATTAAAAAAATAACAAATATTCATCCAAATTTCAAAATTTGTTCTCGGAAGTTTTCGAATTTTCGAGTATACAGTTTTATAGCCAATGTAATTTTAATAATGTGTAAGTTTCAAGTGGCTAAAAATTACCGTTAAATTTATAGAATTTTTTCTCCGAAGATGACGCGGTTTTCTTCCATATAAAAATTAAATGTGTTTATTCGCTATATCCCTGCAGTGAAAAATTATCGGTCGTTAAAAATAACCGATTTATACTTAGCTTTTTATTGGGATTTCGACAAATACCTCACTTTTAATTAGGTATGAGTTGTAAAGTCACGCAGGAGTCATGCAGACGCAATCGGGAGCTTGTTTTCTTTACAATTTTTTATTTAAAAATCCTCATACAAAAACTGCTTGATTACATTTGATTTTTGCACTTCACAAATTCTTGTTCGACAAATAAAATAAAGTTCCAAATTTTACATTATCATTTTTTATGTTATGTCTGACGGAATTCCTATATAGTACCACCTGCTGCAGAATATGTAAACAAATATGCAACGTTGAATATAAATAAAATAAGTAAAAATTAAAAAAATAAAATTAATAGAATGTTTTTTTATTGATATTGTATGTCCAAAAGTATTTAATTACAAATAAGTTGACATGTAATGCAGAGGTATCCACGTCTGACTTTTTTGCGGTCATCGCCCCATAAAAGTAGTTAGCTTTTTTCGAACAAAATATACAGTTAATAGTTAGTACTAGTGTAAACAGACTAAAGTTGGATTGGGTCACGTCCTGCAGGTATGGAAGTAAAATCGACAAAAAAAAATCTAAAAATTCAACGCCAATTTTTAGCCACTTGAAACTTGCATATTTTTACACTAAAATTGAATGGGCAATTAAACTGTATACTCAAACAAAATTCTAACACTTCTGAAAAAAAAAAATTGGAAAGTTGGATAAAAATTTGTTGAATTTTGTTTAGCTTGTTTTAAACTTGGGTTTTTATATAAGTTTTGTTAGAGAATGAACTGCATTCTAAATGAAAATTTTTAAAAATAAATAAATAAAAGTGGCAAACCGATACCGTATTTGTTATCTTTTTTTCGCTTTGTCAGTTTTCTTTTTGTTTAAAACACATTTCAATTCAAATTTGCATTTTGAGGCTTTTTCATAGTTTTAAGCGTAGAAAAATCATTTTATCCTTAAAAATTATGCAAAACTGCTCAAAACTGAATCAAGGACATGCTCACGGACAAAACAAAATTTTACAAAAATGGGTTATCTCTTTTTTGCTAGCCAGGAAGTATTGCTAAAAATCTGTTATTTCAAATGCTAAGGAATTTGGCAGGGGCACGCTGCTCGATTTTAAAAATCACACACGAGAGTCGCGCGAGTACGCTCCCCCGTTCAGTGTAGCTGAATCCAATAGTGCAAGAGTGTTTTCTATTCTTAAGTTTACTCGTGTTTTTGTGGCATTTGAGATTTAAATAAAGTTAAAATTGAATTTTGGAAAACAGGTAACCATAAGCTTTACTATAAACTCATGCGTCCACCAAATTTCTTGCAATAATATGCTGATGATTTTCGAAAAAAATATGAAAAATTTAATATGTACCTGCGAAACTCACATTACAAAACCATAAATAACTATTTCCAATTTAAATCTCAAATGTTTCAAAAACAAGAGTTGACCAAGAAATAGAAAACTCACATGCACCATTGGTTTCAGCTAGATTTGTGGTAAATTTAAAATAATTAGAAATTGTATTTTTGATAATTTTGCAAATGAATAAAAAAGTTAAATGTCGAAAAATAAAAAAAGGAGTTTTAATTTGTAATCTTTGGTAATGAGGGGTTGGAAAAAAACTACTACTACTATTAAAATAAGTTCAATAAAATAGAAGTCTTTAAATAATGAATATGCAATGATCTAAAAATTAAAATCCGCAAAATAAAAATTTTACACCTGAAAATGTCAGGTATTCTTTGCCTCTTCAAAATTTAACTTTTCAAAAATACTTTTGAACACTATTTTGATAACTTTTATAGTAATAAAA